TAATTAAGACATTCAATATTATACCACAAAGTATTATTTCACTATCTAATCCATAAGAAAGGAAGTCTTCTTTAATGGTAAAAGTCAAAAAAAAAACTTATAAAATGTATTTTCATGTGATTCAATATGTATCAACCCCATTTTATATTATTTAGATTTTTAACCTTTTTATTATCTTTCAGAGCAGCTCTCACAGAAAAATACCATGGAAGATATTGATATTATTGTCATCGTGATAGTATGCGTTGGTTTAATTGGTATCGGTTGTATGGTATTTTTTTGTTGCAAGTGTCTTAAAAGGAAGAAGAATCAAACAAGTGCTACTAACGATGACATTGAAATAAATCAAGAGACTCAAGATAATGTTTCTAACGATGACAATGAAATCAATCAAGAGACTCAAGATAGTGTTTCTAACGATGACATTGAAATAAAACAAGAGACTCGAAGTATACATTTAACATAGTGTTTCGTGATTCTTAACATTTGCAATTGTCTCCTCTAGAAATTGCTACAATCATCACAATAATTATCACAAAATGGTTAATTTGGTGAACATGGAAGACAACTATTGTAATTATATTATGATATTATAGTTTTGATCCCTCAAAACCTTTTTTTGTTCTTTTATTGGATTTTTGTTTATGGTGATTTATGTTATATAATATTAATGTCAAAGCCAAAAAGATGTATTTTCTAACCTTATAGATTTACAATGGTTAAAATGTTCATCTTAAAGAAATTGCGTAAATTTGTTCTTTCCTAGATTCAATTCATGTTTGAAACAACTCTTTACGTTGCATTAGGTAGCAATGGTTTCAGTCTATATGATTGTTACCATTTTGAAATGATATTTCTTTCGTTCTGTTTCGCATTAGAAATTTCACTATATGATGTTGTCTACTTGAAGTCATCCTATTTGGGTCGATTATGTGAAGAATCTAGTATTAAATTTTATATGTTTCCAATTCAGAAGTAATCTAACTAATAGTAAATGGATTGACATGTGTTTTTTATTTTTAATATGTGATCATTTTGATCTCCTCTTCTTTTAAATACTAGTTTGTGCTTATAAAAGATGTTTTATATACATATTTGTTAGTTCAAAAAAATAATAATACATATTTGTTCTCAATTTTCCTTTTCTCTCTTAATAAATACATATTTCTTTCAAGTAAATATTGAAAACATTTTTTTTAAACATTGTTAGAATAGTTTCAAGATTTGTTGCATATGTTAAGATATTTAATAACACCTCAAAATGATAATGGAAAACATTTGTTTTTGAAGATAAAATCTATAAAATAATGTATTTTATATGATCTCTCTCTTTTGCTTCTCGTAGCAAATTAGACCACTTTCATCAAAGAGTTCTAAAGTATTAGAAAAATTCTCAAAATAATAGTTAAATATTAGAGGGGTTCTCAAAAAAGGAGATATGGTGTCTAAGAGCATGTCCATTCATTACAACCTCATAGAATTTCTCA